CCTTCGGTTTTTTTTCTTTTTAGTTATTTTTTAATCGTAAGCCGACGATGACAGCCATTTAAGTCTGAAACCTCATACAGAAGTCCGCGAGGATCTCTTGGTTACATATTTCCAGCTACTGTTTTTTTTTTCGACGCAATTCTTTAATCGACGTATTTTTATAAAGCTTATGTCCTGATTACGACCTCTTACTAAATTACATGATTTTGCGACAAACGAAAGTTTGAAAAAGAAAGTAGGTTAAGTTGAGGCTATTATTGTTGTTATTTTAAGAACAACGTTTGTTTTGAACGTTGTAGAAGTATACTAGGTATATGTAGGCATAGGTCTTGGTTCTCTGTAGTCCTTTCTTTATTGTTCTTCACTTTTTTTATTATCATTCAAATACAAAAAAATTTAATACTATTTTTCCTATTCTATACTTTTTATTACTTTTTCGCATTGTAACCTCGAAATCACACTTTCATCCCTTATTTCCTACTTTCACGCGGAAAAATAACCGATGCGAAAAGGTGTTTTGATGATACTCGTTACAGCATCGTTGAGATTAGATGTCCAGATCTTGAAAGCAGTTACTACATGAGTGTCATTAGATCTTAAACTTGCTATATAATAAATATAAATGTATTTCCTTATTACAAGAACCCATTAAGCTAATGCTATGATACTTTGTCAAAGATATGACAAACGGGATGAAGCCAGGGAAAGATCGAAATCTGCAGGTAGAGAAGAAGCAGGAACCTCAGATTACATTAAACCCTGAAGCGTATAAGTACAATGTCGGTCGACACTCACATGAAAACCGGTAGACACGCGCATATATCAGAGAGGAGAAAACGCCTTCGATCTGAGTATATATACATATATGTAACTGCGCGTTAGTTTTTATTAAGTCCGATAAATACAATAGAAAAAATATAAAGTTTAATTATGTAAGCACGTTATTTTAAAATTATGCGCGATAAATAATGTAACGAGAGGATTTATCATATAGGAGTATGTACGAATGTACGCGAACCTGACGAAGGAAAACACCCGCAGCCCTCGATTAGACATGGCTAGAGATACGGTAATCTTGGTCGGCGATCTAATGATCTTATCAGCCGCTTATGTGTGGGTAGGTGGTGTATGATTCTAGCGTCTCTAGCAGCTCTGGAATCTTCTCCAAAGCAATAACACCCTACTATGGAGGAGGAGACTGCCGCCTTGAAAGTTTACGCGAGCACAGTGTCAGCTAAAAGGATTGCAGTGGGGCCATTCTTGCGAGGAGGCGACTGGTAAAAATGCCATATCCGTAACCTAACATATCTTACATCAAAAGTATTTCTATGGGCTCTGGCTATAAAGCATAAGAGTTAAAAACATCGAGAAATATTAAACCCGATTGGAATTTATGCCGGTTGTAAAGTTGAACCTAATTATCTTTTGTGCATAGTGGCTAAGTATATACCTTTCACGAAAATTTAGGTCATTAAAGCAACGTATTTATTGTGTTCTTAGAAAGGTTCTTTTCATTGGTGCCTGAAAAAGTTGGTTGGCGGCAGCAGCCGTTTATTAATAAGGCGGCTGCACAGCGTAGAAATGTACACGAGTACCCTTTCTCATTGCCTCTGAAAATTACCACCGCAGAACTCGTGGCTTTGACGCGCGCAAGACCCGCAGCTGCGCATATTTTAGCTTTGGCCACCAGTTTCGACAAAATAGTACAGTCGACTATTATGCAGGCTCTACCTTACATCTTTACAATAGAATTTCATATGTGCGCGTGCGTGCATGTGTGGGTAAGGCTTTTGATCCCTTTTTTGTTTAAAACTGTGTAAGTTACTTTAAATGAGATGGTGGTGTCTCCAGAAAAAAGTATTTATTTTACGGGCAGGACGTTTAACGTCAGAATATTTTCAAATTACGTAGTGTTACGATATATTGATAACTTAGAAAAAATTAACTTAACATTTATAATAAAAATCAAATAGTGCTCATTAATATGTATCAGTTAGAAGAATATTTTCTAAAAACGAATAAATCCTACATTTTTATTGATTACTTCCGCGAGAGAAAAATCTAATAAGAGCAAAAGGCATCAATTCATTCATTATTTTTCTTTGATTTTAATTAAATTTTTCAAAACATTAAGTTTTATGTTAGGAGTGCTTTGAACACAAATACTTGAAGATATGGTCTTAGAAGAAAAGAAAAGTAATTTTGAACAAATCGTCTTGTGACAAAATTATATTGTTTTACAATAAGAATATTAATGTCATAAGAAAAATTCTATCTGGAGTTATTTTGAGAAAATAATCAGTTTCGGCGATGAAAGACTTTTATCGGTGCAGTGTTGTTAGACATAATTTTCACCATAAAAAATAATCTCTTTCGTATTTATCGAGTTTGTATTATGTTCGACAAACAAAGCTTGCCATGAGCAAAAAGTTAAAAACGTTGCAGGTTTCCAAAGCTTTAAGATATATACTTTCGAAATTATTGACAAAAGGAAAGAAAGAAAAAGCCAAAAGCGAAAAAAAAAATCCATATCACCGAAGTGTATATAACAGCGAGCCTTTCCATGTCTACTAATATCCACTATCAATACCTAGTGTCGCAAAATCGAACGGAAGAGGAAAAAATGAACTAACAATGTGCGAGGCGTGACAACATGCAATATCGTCCTTGCCGACGGTGCAACTAATAAGGGCCATCGTCACTTCTCACGTACACGGTAGAGGTTGGCTCAAGGGTTACCAAGAGAAAAAAAGACATATCTTAATCAAGAGTTGTCGGCGTCGCTTTTGAGACTTTTTTGTTTGAACATTTCAAGATGAGAAACGCAGATACCAGTATAAAGCTGAAAACTGCTGAATGCGCGAAATGTTGTTTGGTTTTGCGTGGTCTAATAATTCACCCCAAAATTTCGACATTTCTTATATAGTAAGGTTAATTTTCCGCCCTGGTTATTTTTGAAAGTTTGACGTTCTCATTCTGATTTTTACTTTTGATGGGTGATTAGTGTGTTTCAAGTCGATCATCGATATCGAGATACGAAAGTGTTCTTAGTTCTACCTTAAAATTTTTTGCCAAAAAAATAAAATAACATCTCTTTTATGTTTTCGAGCTAATGTATAATTCTCATGTTAGTTCTCAGCAGTCGTTCAATACCTTAAAAATAATGACAACTCGACTTTGTAATATCGCAAATGGCAGAGAAATATCTGCCGTCAAAAAGAAAGCAGGCATAGTGTCACAGCGCCGTGCAAAAAGCAACAATTGCAGGCATGAAGCTCACAAGAAAGTAGCAAAAACACGCTGTGGTGAGGTCTCTTGTCAACACACACATATACATGTGCATAAACAGAACTAGCGACGAGGCTGAAGAATAAAAGGGAGAGAAGGACGACAGACAGAGGAAACTATCAGCCTCTCCGCGCCCGCGCGCCTGCTGCGATCGATGTCGAAGGTCACGGTCATGTCCCGCCAACTAAAGAGACATTACGTAACTCACACCTTCTGCTTTGTCACTCGACTGCTTCATGTATATCGTATATATATTTGATAAAAAGTGAGAAACCGACATGACAGATTCCACATGCTTTAATATAAATGTTAATATAATAAAAATTCTAGTAAATATGCCATTCAACGAATCAAGTAATAAATGTTTACAACGCTTTTCGGCTATTTCATTTTTCATTTTTTTCGAGTAGGTCTGCGGTTCACAGTTATATGACTTTTGCGTAACTGTTTTTTATTTGGTAGAGGGGTTTCGCTACGGCAATTGAAATTTTTCCCAAATATATAATAGAGTTGAGATTTTGTCCGTTCGGGGCAACTGTTAACTTGCTTTCATCTATTTCAATACACATACGGTCTTTAAAAAAATCGAGAGTATTGAGTGTTGAGTGTAAAAATAAAAAAAAAACACTTCAAAGCTTACTTTTCATGGACTAGCTCATTCCTATATCGATTCACAATTTACACAAATGATATTTTAGATTTCTTTTTAAGCCGATCAGCAGTGAAGAATTTGAACGGGTAATGAGCAGTGGAAAGTAATAAACAGAAATATTATTCGAAACAAACATTTGCAAGAACTCTGACATAACTGTAATAAAGTAGTTGTCAACTTCTGCATACATCTTCATATTGGCTTATAAGTTTGAGCGCATTTTCAAGAAAATTTCCTAATATTCTCGTGTGCCCGAGGAACGCGTTGAGACACGCGCAGTCAAAACACATTTAGAGAGTGGGAATAAGATGTCACGGGGCTTAAAAATCTCACTTTTCCTTTTTCTCGAGCAGCTTTTTACACGTCAATAACTCTCTCTTTCTCTCATCGCCTTTGGAATCTGACGGATTGTGCCATCGACAAGAGGGATGTTAGTGCACTATTCGCGAATTTCCGTATGGCGCTCTATTGATAAATGACTTCAGATCTTCGAGATTACAATTACTAATCTTTCTAGTCTAACAAAATTCTCCCTTCAAGTTTGACATGCTGTAAATTAACTCTTTCAGTCACCAGATTTAAAGTGCGTGAAATATTATTATTTTATTTTAACATACTCGGGAAATAATATCAGAAATATACCATTGACTTAAATATAAATTAAATTTCTATTTAATGGTTTTTATGCTGAACAATAATAATTTAAATTAGATTGATTAGAGATAAGAACACGCGAAAGTCTCGAAGTAATATTGTGGGTGCTTTGATAATTTTAACAGGCGTAATTATCACCATTTCGTCGAGTACGATTTAATAGATGTAATTGAGGTCTTATCTATTGTGCAGTTCGCGCGTACTCAAGAGTGCGCCGTGAATGAAAACGAAATTGCTCGATCTAGGTCTTAACGCTATTCATCTCTCCTCTCACACGATTATTGGAAATATTTTAAGGGATGATAAATTTCACGTATGAAAATTTCATTTTCTCGGTATAATTCAATTCCCATTAAATCAAGAGAATCAGAATATTTTCGCTTATGTACTATACAAAAGTACTTACTTCTTGTGTCGATTCCATTTGCTAAAGGACATCTTAGTTTGGTCACCGTTGATGCTCTTGTCGGAGGCCAACAAAGTATTGAATCCCATGCCCAACTGCACCAGACTTCTATAAAAATCAACACACAATAAAACTCTAATCGCATATTTTACTATACTTTGCAGATCGAAGAAATTCAGTTTTTGATATACAGTGTTCAAAATAGTTCTATGTAGTTTGTTGTGTCTCGTTAGCGTTTGCGATGCAGTCTACTTTGTTTTTAATATGTTCAAATTTTTCTTATCGATGGTAATTTTCTATTTTATCAGAATATAATCAATATTATTGTATGAGAACCATTTGAAACGCGCATCACAAGCACAAATTGCAATAAAAAATACTAAAATACATTAAAAATTGACATTGTCTCGAAAAAAATTTTATGAACTTTGTCATTCGTGAAAAAAATTGGACCAAAATCCTCACGGGTTTTTCCCAGTACTAAAGTTTTTTTTTGTTAACTTTGAGTTGAAATTTCCGTCGGACGTTATATGTACCTAGGCATGCTAGTGTAACAGTGTCGACGCGGAATCTTGTGTGCTCAGAGACCGGAAACGAGAAGCAGTAGCGTCCCTTCCACAAGGGATCTTTGAACATTAGAACGTCTTAGCGACTTTTTCTCGTTTCGAGCTTTCAACTGTCATGAATTTTCAGGAATTCTGTCACGCGATGTATCACTCGAGTCACGTAAATTCGTTCGTGCTTTCTTTTCTTCTTTTTTGGTTTTTTAAAAATCTAATTTCATTATGAACTAACATTAATGAACTACATATTTGTAGATTTATAATTTATATTTACGTGATTCTATGTAAAAATACAATTACTTTCATCGCATACAATCTTTTCGTAATGTGAAATTCCCCCCTTTTTTTGAAACTTTATATGCAGTTAGAAATAGATAACTCCAAGTTTGATTTTGAATGTACAATACAAAAAAAAAAATAAAAAATGAAAATAAAGAATAATCAATTTTAAGGTTAATTAGACAAAACAAACTAACTCGTATGCAAAATTTTGCATGCTTCGTTCGTTGTGATTCTCCCTGACCTTTAACAGACAGTGGCTCTTCCCACTAACTTTTCAACATAGTTAGCCTGTAGGTACCAAGCCGTGCAAACTCTTTGGCTAGCTGCAGTAGTGAAATATCCACGTGTGTCGCATAGTACAGTAGAAACACTTTAACGACTACCTGAATTACTTCGAGAAATTCCCTTTGGGCCATTCTCTATTTTACGTTTACTATTATGACCTCTCAGTCCGTTCTCACACATATCTATTTCATTTTCCGAAAGTGCATATTGTATAATACATTTCGCTTGTATGTTTTTTAGATGTCGTGCTACTGCTACACACGTGCCGATCGCTGAAACGACATGTGAACTTTTCTCTCTAGGTCCAGTGCCGAAAGTGAAATAACGCTAGAGAGGGAAAAGGATTGATACAGACGTTGTTATGTACAATTTTCCGAGAGAGAAATATGTCATGCGTGTCGTGTCAGTTTTGGAAGATATATTTCTGTCACGATTATTTTATTTATTTTTTTTACTTCGGAACGAAATATGTGTAGACGATCAGACCTTACGTTTCCATTCTATTATTGTTGAGAAGAATCGTATTGGATGCAAGGAAAAAGAAACTATAATTGGAAAAATTTGCATATTTGAATTACTTTCTTGAATGATCTTAATGGCAATGTTAATCGGGAAATCTCGGCGTTGTGGACATTTTCTAGTAAACATTTATCTATGATAAATATTTACAATGTAATGTCTCCATGAAATATAATTTCGAAAATTCAAACTGTAAATAAAAAGAATTATTGAATAAAATGTAGAAAAATCAAAATTAAATGGTTTTGATTAATCCGATAGTTACTACCGTTGTATTATAGTTGTAATATTATAGAAATAGTTGTAATATTCAACCTTGATTAAACAATCAACGAAGAAAAGTATAACAATATAAAAACTAAAAGTCTTTATTCTTAGAAAAATTCAGAAAAATCTTATTGTTGTATTACACTGAAAAAGAAAATGAAAAATAAAACTCGAGTAAACGAGATACAAGCTTGGTTTATTCAATTGAATAGAATCAATTTAAAGAGACGAATAAAATGAGAGAGAGGGAGAATAAGAGAGAAAGAAAGAGAAAGAAAGAGAAAAAGAGAGAGAGAGAGAGAGAGAGAGAGAGAGTGTTGGAGAGCAATAAAGATAAAAATGTAGAAGTCGGTGCAGCATAAATAGAACGAAAACATTACTATATAAACGATATAGTGACAGCAAAGCAAGTAAGACTGATGCCCGCTTTGCCTGCACGCTTCTATACATATCTTAGTTCATTTCGTCGCTTTTAGTTAATTTACATCCTCATTTGCATCTATAGGGTGTTACTCGGTGATTAACAGATTCCTCCTTGATTTTGTAATCAGCTTCCTCTCTTCCTTCACTAAATTACGCGCTCACCCGAGTAGCGTTTTATGATTCATAACGTTACATATACTTTATTTTACTGTTTTGTGATTTTCAATTATATAAGAACCTCGATATATAAGGCAGCTATACTTTATATAATAGTCATGCACAAGTAACCCACAACGTTTGACCGCCAATGAAATTTTTAAAAGTATATTCACTTTTTTTTACATGAATAGTATTTTTCTTTATTTTAAGAAAGAAAAATTCAAAACATATATTTAATTTAAAAAAATAGATTAAAGTGTACATCAAATTAAACGTTTTTTCTATTTTGACCTCATTTGCGATATTGCCGTGTGTAATCGTCACTGTGCTTGACCAGCGTAAATAATGAAGGTATGACAATTTAATTAAAAAGATTGTCAGTCCATCATTGCCTACACCGGTAATGTAAAGATTACACAATTAGAAAATTTTTTTTCATTATACAAGATCTCATTTGAAAGCTTGGTTCCATAAGCTTTTGAATGAGTCACTGCATGATCAATTCAATGAAATCCAGCTCGAGTAATGATCATTTCAACATCTTTTTTAGTGTGCGAAATTATGAGTATACATAAAATATTACATACAATTTCTTAAAATTTATTGTTAACACCGTATTTTCGCAGATTTTCACTAAAATCAAAAAAATATCTTTTTGCTTTTGGCCCTTTCCATCGCAATTACTGGAAAATTGCGTTGCTCCTTTTCATAATTTTACGCCCCGTCTTTTCCTGCCCAATTGGGATTTTCATTATATTTATTATTTAAAAAACAATATAATACGCTTCATTGAGATAAGGACAAAATACTTATTTTGAAAATACAAATAAAGTGTTTCACTTTTTCTGGGACATATATGCCTAATATTGTGTTGAATGGACACTAACTTACATTATGATAGAATGCTTCAACAAAAGTGGTAATGAACATAGTTCAAATATTGAATTTGTAAATAATAGGTGAGAAATCGAATTTCCAAATTTTGATATTGGTTTGATTAAACGTTTTGATAATACACGCTATATGTTTAACAGTAAAATAAGTTCTTATATTTGTTCTTTATTTGCAATTCAGATTCAGCATAGTTTTTAAATTTGACAACAGTTCTCTTTATTTGAAAAACTTTGTTTACTGCATCGAAGTCAACACTTAAATCGACTGAAATATTGCATATATAAATAAATATCAATAATTAACAATTGTGGATGAAAGTTGATGCATCTTGCGTACCTTAAAATTCCTAATAAGTATCGTTATGAAAAACACTACCTATCTCAGATTTCTAAAGACAAAACATCCGAATAAGACATTACCTTGAAATCTATTCTTAGTTATCGAGAACATATAATGCCTAGACAACACATTTAGGTATTCCGTGCAACTATAGACAGTGTATAAATGAATATCAGTAGCACGAGTCTTGCGTATTCTCCGTTGTCTAGCGACCCACGGAGCAACACAGCTTATCATAGTTTCCTATTATACAAGTTGAACAAGTCCAAAGAAATTTGTTAGCAAAACTTGAAATACTACAGGATAGATGATGTTTTGCAACTTGTATAACTTATATATAGTGCACGTCGTTGCGATAAAAGATACTTTCAAGAGATTTTCTTTATTAAAATCTTTATGGATATTAATATCGGTCACTTATATCTCGTTGATTATTTGACGAATTTCGTTAGAGGCGTTGAGAAAATGTCCACAAACACCTCTATACGTACCAAGAGCTAACGTTTATACCATTAGGAGAATCTTTATTAAGTTTTGATTGATCGCGACTTGAAAAATTTGTTAATAACGACCGACAATTTTTTTTCTTGTCCGAAAAATTGCATATGTTTATTCGTTTGTCAATTATAAACCATTTGTTGCAAATACGTACAATTGAGTTATTTCGTTAAACAACTATGCTTGAAATTATTTACTCATTTCGAGAGAGAATCTCGTAAGGAAATTTTTTCTCTTCGTGTACTGAAATATAAATATCAAAATTTCATAATAGGACGGCTCGATCAATCGCTAAACATACAAGGGGAATTGGTAGATGAGGCGTAACTCACCATTTTCAGGAACAATGTAGTCCCGATGCTGGAGCTCGCAGAGTACCTGTGTGTCATTGCCACTCGCGGCGGGAAAGTCCATATTGCCAATTTACTTATCATAACACTGCTCAATAGTAGCAGCCACTATCTTTCCGGAAGGCGGTGGTTTGCTACATTTTCAGAGTCATTTAAACACTTGCGACACTCTACATATTAGTTTTTTAGTTCTCGAATTTCTGTACACCTAAAATCTTTTCATTGACTTATTAACACTGACTTTTCGCACTTATGGTGATATTATTTCTTTGGTATCGTTTTGTTTAAAAATTCACTCGTATGGACATGATTTTTCATACTGTTTCGGCGTGTCCACTTTCTTTTGTTTATTTTGAATTTTTCGGTGACATCAGCTTCATTGTTGTTGCTTTCCTATTGAAACATTAGTATTATTTAAAATCTGATAATAACTATATTTTGAGACTTTAGTTTAGTGTTCTACACTTTTATAAACCAACAATTTTTTAATTTTAATAAAATATTTGATTTTTTATATTTAACAAAAAGATATAAAAGAAAACTTCAAAATGGTTTAACAACAATTTTTTAGACATTTCTCTAAAATATATACTAAACATCTCAAAGTTATTTTTCAACGTTTTATGTAAGAGAATTAATTATTCCAATAGTTTCTAATAAAACAAACGTTATCTTGCATAACTCTATTATGCTTATTCTAAAATATCTCTAAATTTAGTCCAAAGTCTCTTTATAAGTTACAAAGAATAAGTTAATCTATATTGACTTAGATGTGAAAAAAACACATTTTCAAGATAGATCTATCATAACCCGATTCTCTAACAAAAATATATAAATTAATTTTTTTAATTAATCCGTTAACAATAACTTTCTAAAAGAAAGTCAACTCTTTTGATTCCTAATTGCTATTACAGGTCTCTTATCGGTTAATACGCTTCCGTCTCATTTTGTTCTTTCGCAACTTCGATTCTTAATGTATCATGAAAATTATATACTTTTATACTTCACCTTAAGTTTCAAACTGTTCTCAATAATCCACTTTATATTTTCTAGTTTGTGATGATGCGTCATCACACACAAATATATATTACCGGCACTATGACAGAACAGCCACGACTACATACACCCGCCCACGCACTCCCGGATCTCGCGAACTACGACCTCTAGAAACCTCCCTGACCGATTCGCACGACCCTTACGCTCGCGTACAACCCCTCGCGCACTCACGACCCGATCCGACCCTCCCCCGGGGAGCTAGAAGCCCCTAAAGTTTTCAGTCGCGATCAGCTGATCGCAAGCCCCCGTTAGTTAAGGCAGGCCTAGCTAGACTAAAGGTAGGAGCGACCGAGCGCGTGAGAGCGAGCGAGACCGCCGATGCTAGACCGATCGGAAGCGAGCGAGGGGAATCGGTAAGACCAACGAGCGGTAGATAGAAGAAGATAGACAAGCGACGCTAGTTGACTGACCAATCGTTATCAGCTTAGGGGTGGTCGAACTAATGAGGGAAAACCGACGCTATCTTCGCGGCCAGTAGGCAAATTAGGCGCGAAGGACCGACCAATAAATAAATTGCGCGGGTAAAAAAACGTTAATATAGACGGCGCTGAGACCTGGCTTAGCAACAAGCTAGCCAATCGGCAACAACGAAGGGGAAGTAAACTAGGAGAAGCGGTGCGTCGCCGAAAAACGGCGCGCCAGTAACCGTTAAGCCTCGACGGTAGGAAGTCCGCCGAGCCTCGCCGTTGCGCGGTACGCAGAAATTAGAATAGAAGCAGAAGTGAGAATTAGAATAGAAGCAGAAGTGAGAATTAGAATAGAGGCAGAAGTGAGAATTAGAAAAGAAACAGAAGTGAGAATTAGAAAGAAGCAGGAGTGAGAATTAGAAAAGAAAGTAGAAGTGAAAAGTGGAAACAAAAAAAAAGAGGGGAAAGAAAAGCGAGAGTGAATACGAAAGAAATAGTGAAGGAGGTAGGCAAGAGATAGTGAAAGTGAAAATAGTACAAAAGATATTGAGAGAAATAGGCATAACAGAAGAACGATAATAGATAATAACGATAATAACGATAACAGGATAAAATAACGATAATAACGATAACAGGATAAAATAGCGGAATAACGATAACAAACAGAGCATTAATCGGCCAAAATCTACCAGGAGTAAGTACCCTTTTACTGCCGATTTCTTTGCATGAATGATAACCGCGAGTTTGTCGCGCATTGCCGACCGCCGCGTTTTCGGGAGTGCCGCATGACCTCCGCGCGCATTACGCCTTGACCGAAAACGTTTGCCGTTATCCCCAAGTTTTTTTTTGTCACGTCGTTCTTTGTCCCGCACCTGAAATAGTCGCCTGACCGCCGAATGTTCGCGCGCGGAACCCCGCATGACCTTCGCGCGCCCGTCACCGTTGCTTTATATGGTTTTGCCACCGACCTTTCGGGAATAGTTTCGAGTCGCCGTGTTGCTATCAACCGTGCAACGAGTTTTCTGAGTGTGCGCCCTTGAAATTCCTTTCCGAGTCGATCCAAACATCACACGAGTCGCGTTAGACCTTCATCCGACCGGCAAAACTCAGGTACATCGTCGCCTTTATTTTGTTCGCAAGCATCGCTATACGTAACGTCAACACCGCGAATGGTAGTCAACCTTCGCGCGACCGACCGAATTCCTGAGCGCAATTGTTTTGAACGAGCTGGAATTTTCGCCGCGAATAGATAAACCGACGTTACGTATTCGAATCATAGCCGAAGCCCGAAACATTCAACCGAGTTATTGTCCGTCTAAGCTGACTTCGCGCCGTAGTACGCCACCCGCGTTCCCCCAGTAATCTAGACCAGGCTGACCATCGCTAGGGGTAGACCACTGGGGTAGACCTGGGTTTCTTTTGCATAATAAATCCGAATTTTCTTTATATCCGACTTATTATTGACTACACCCACTTGATCGCCCCATCCCCCGTAGCTTTCGCGACCGGTTTGAGATCGGTAAACGCGTGCGCGAATTCCCGACTGCCCTGATCACCGCTCAACCGATAGCCACCGTCGCAGCCACTACGCCACCAGTCCAGGGAAGGAGTCATCATCCCCCGAACCACTAGCCGCCAACCGGAGCGCCCCTGCGACGCCCCCCTCGATGTACCCGCTTCTGGGATTGAGAGCCGCCATGCCCCGAAACATCTAGCTAGCCGAACGAGCCGCAGCCGTGGGTGGCCTTGGAAACCACCCGTTGCCCCCCTTTCCCCTTTCGCTCGATACGTCTTTCCGCTTTAGACTTGACCGAATCGTCGCCTAGGACTTCGCGCCCCTGCTTCATCCTCCACAGGTGATAGTCGGCCACGCGCGCAAGAACACCGACGGCGACAAGGAGGGAGGCGACGGGGAAACCACCCGACCTCACAGCGACCAGCAGGACCACCGAGCCGAGAACCAGCCGACGTTGCAGCGCTACCACGTTCTCCTAACGCGAGAGCACGGTAGCTGGCGCCCAACTCAATAAAATAAAGCTGCACACGTCGTCTCGGCTGACTGCGCGCCGCTGGCGACAGCGCGAGATCAGGAGAAATACCGTCTTTTATTTTTCCCCTCCCTCTCCCCCGTCGCAAATGGCGCCCAACGTGGGGCGGCGCCATCGAGCTGACCACTGACTAGTCGTTCGGATAGCATCCTCGCCCTTGATCCGTCGCAAATGGCGCCCAACGTGGGGCCCACGCCATCAAGTTAGTCGACGATTAGTGGCTAGGGCGACACCCCTACCCCCGATCCGACCAAGTGGCGTACTGCGACTGCGAATAAGGCGATAATCAGAAGCGAATAATCTGAGGAACTTAGCGATTACATGCGACTATATGCGATGTGCTTGTGATTATATGTGATTATATATGAATTATATGTGATTATGTGTTTGAATTTGAAATGCTGCTAACTGATAATATACTAACCTATGTGTGGGCTGACCGAGATAATAGTATAAGTTGTTCGGGTAAATTTTAAGACGATCGCGATTGTTGGGCCTGACCTGGGACCTTATATCCCCTGTGTTTGCGTTGGGAAGATTTTCTGTGGTAGACCTGCGAGAGTACCCGGCTAGACCTTTTGTTTAGCTAAGGGCTCGAAACCAGTTATTGACCGACCTTGGATAGGTCGTTGATTAGGGGTTTGACCACTGGGTTCGTACGACCTCGCGACTTTCTGTCCCGGGTAGCAAATCCCGATTGGACTTTACTCCGAACGTGGAGTGAGACCAAGCCTGACCAGTCGAACTGGCCAGTAAGGATAAGCCTGACCTTCGGGAACCGAATGACCTCGCGACCGTAGAACTCAGTAATAGACCTCAACTGGAATTAACCCCTTCAGTGATAACTAGATTAAACCGAGTATTAAACCAGGAAACCACAGTGCTTAACGCATTAGCTGCTTGGCGCAGAATGACATCCAACGCAAGTACAGGAGTACCGACCACCAGGACCGAGGACATGGACACCTTTGAAGGATCCGAGGACCAGCCATGGGACAACCTGAGGATGTGGGACACCCTTAAGAAGTCACATGCTGGACGAGAAATAGCCGTGACGATTAAGGAGATGACGCTTGACGAGGTACATGGAGAAATGGAGCGACTTGGACTCCCTATTACTGGACTACCTGACGTCGACCGCCTTGAGTACCTGCGATACCGTCTGCGGGAGGAGCGAGTAAAACCGGATCAACGAATTAAAGGATCCCTACACCTTAGCACCTTTCCATCGTACTGCACCGTATTATGGCGCCCTGTGGAGACCAGTAGCGATGCCCAAACGCACCAATCGGAATCCACAGCAGCGGAGGGACGAAGTCGCCCAAAATCCAAAGTTGCTAAGGCCATCGAAGAAAGCGACCACGACCAGAACGCCAGATCAGGAACGAAGGCGCTTAAGGCCCGCCCGCTTTCTAAGGTACCAAGTCAAGCTGACCCGTCCGACCTAGCTGATCCGAGTACCTCAGAGGATGACACAGCCGATCCGACAGGAAGATTACGGCGGTCCAAACGGACCCAACAAGCCTCAGCGATCAGTGGAGCGCGCAATCATAAGAGAGCCGACGCTGTCATGGAACAGCCGGCCAAGAAGGGCAAGAATATCCGAAAGATACCACCGCATGGGGCAGCCGACCAACCTGAGATGCATTTGGAGCTTTCGGAACGCACCGGAACCATTCGCCGAGTTACAAGAACGAAGAAAGGTGTTGCTGAATCAAGAGGGGTAGACCGAGGGACCGATACCGACGAGCCAGCCATTAGGGAGAGCCGAGGGATTGGTCGGGGCGAAGAGTCTCTTAGGAGGGTTGACCTGAACCGATCTTTGCTTCAACTGGCGGAAGAGGACCGAATGGACCTGTCAGCTGAACCAGGAACCTGTCGT